CAGGTGACAGGTGGGGCATCATCCCCTTTTTTTTTTTTTTTTTTTGGAGAGGTTTTTGCTATAGGGCACGTGCGCTTGCCAGAAAGACAGAGAAAGCAAGAAATCACCTCCCGAAGGGGCTGGCCGCACGCACCACAATCCCTTCTCCTCCATTCTCCTCTCGGGATCTTGGGCACGCACGCACACGTGCCCGGCTTGAGTTTAAGTCCCTGGGTCTGAGACTTGAACTATGGTTGACTACGTGGGAGTCCAGCAACGTGGTCATTACGCCGCATCTCCTATCTTAGAACAGGTCTGACCATCTCCTGCCCCACACCAGACCAAGCCTCCCCTGGCTGACTGCAGTTGTAGGAGTCCTGCAGCCCTTGGGCACCCCCACATTATGTCTGGGGACTGGCCTGCCACATGCCATCCCCACTGGCTGGGTCGGGGTTAAGAACTTGAATCCTGCTGAGGTCAGACCCACCTGTCCTTCCCCACACACTTGAAGCTAAGGCCCCAGAAGGGTGCTATGCTGCCCTAACTCACGGCCACACTGTGTGTCTCAGCTTTGTAACGTGTGTCTGAAGAAAACATACGAAACAGGGGAAACCAATGTTTTCACCTTGCAAACACTGGCACTTCCTCTTAACTTCATTTCATACAGAATATGCTCTGTGGATCACAGAACAGGTGTCACTCAACAGAAGTTCCCAGAGCCTCTGTGACAGGGCACCACCCCAAAAAAGTCCCAGCTCCCAGAGATCCTGTCCTCGGCTCAGGCCTTAGTGACAGGTCCCCAGGAGACCCAGGGACAGTCAACAGCATGGCTAGCCTGGCCTGCTAGGCACGCAGGCTGTCTGCACCAACGTGGGAGATGAGCAGTGGAGGAGCAAGCCCCGGTGCAAGTTGCAGAGGGACAGGCTGAACAAGCCTTGGGCCTCACCTGGTTAAGCAGGGCTTTCCGCAGCAGGGCTTCCTCTCCCTCCCCCAGCCACATGGACCAGGGCAGGGCCAAGGGCAGGGCGTGGCACACAGCCCTGGATTGTACCTTGTAGATGGTGGTGCTGTGATCAAGGAGGCCAGACTAAAGATGGGGACAGAAACCCCCGGTGGCTGCTCCCCGAGGCCTGTGGCAAACCATGTTTCCTAACTGCTGCTGACCACAGGGAAGGGAAGGCATGGGCCTGTGGCTGAGGGTCCTGGGAAGTGGGGAGGAACCAGCAGTGCCCACCCTGTGGTTATGACTTGGAAGAAACAGGAGAGAGACCCTAGGAGATTCACAACCTCAAAGTCTAATTCTCTCCCCTTTTCATGTCTCCCCAACTTATCCAAAGCGGACAGCGAGAGCACAACACTGCACACACCGCACGGTGGCGACGGGGACACTGAGACCCCAACGGATCCACATGGGCCACTCGCTGTAAGGATGCCATCAATGAGGGAAACGGGGCAAAGGGCACTCTCTGTATCATCTTCGTGATATTTCTGTAAATCTAAAACTACTCTAAATTAAAACATATTGGAAAAAAATGGGACAGGAGAGGAGGTAGCAGTCCCTCTCTCAGGAGCTGCCACAGAGCGGCGTGATGACTCTGGGTGTCCTGGTGTGTGTGGCCCTGACTTCAGACACATCCTCTACCTGTTAACATCTTCCAGCAGCTGGCCGCTCGGCCATACCTCCCCCATTCAGCCTCCAGCCACAGGGTGCTAGGTATGGGTCTTGAGCGTTTGCTACCCACTTGATACACTCCCAGACTCCTGGGAGGGGCCAAGGGCACACTTGGTCACAGTGGGGTCACGGGAGGCTCTGAGGCAACCCACCTCCACCCTGACAATCATGGCAGGTCCTTGGGCTGCTGCAGGGGTCTGCAGGAAGCCCCAGGAGATCCTAAGTTGCACAGAACCAAGCACCCTGCTCTGGGCTATCTCAACCCCCTGAGATCTTAAGCTCAACCATCCAAAACGTGCCCCAAACATGCCCGGTCTTCCACAGCTTCAGGAGCACCCAACCTGCTCAGGCCCTTCCCACACGTCCATCCCCAGCCAGTGTCCCCATCCTGTCCCACAGCTGGCGGAGCAGGACAGTACCTCCACAAGCTCCCTTCTCACCAGTCTCCTCGCCTCTCCCAAACAGCACCCACCTTTCAACACCATAATCAGTTTAAGTTTCCACCCTCTTAATCCCACTACAGCAACCAAAGACTTTAGGAACAAAGGCCAGAGG